CACACACACACACACACACACACACACACACACACACACACACACACACACACACACACACACACAAATACAGAGGGTAGTTTTTTTACTTTTTTTATTCCACGCGTGTCCCGCCACGTGTCCGAGCCCCATTGTGATCGACCCGTTGATCGAAATTCAACGGGAAGCCCCCGTTATACCGCTCAACGGGGATTCAACTCGGGCCTCATGGTCGTTCAACGGGTACAACAAAGTTGAATAAATCCCGTTGCTAGTTAAATGGACACACAGCCAGACGGTCAGGGGGGTCCCGGACATCCGATCAGGTAACGTAGCATAAATGGCATAATCGCAGAGATCATAAGAAACTTGTCAAACCGAAATATTCCCCTTCCCTTCTTTAACAGATCGATGTGGTCAGAAGTTTGAGTCTGACTCAACGAGAATCTGAATCTCCTCTTAATAAGCTTCCAATTTTCGACAATCAAGTTTCCTCTTGTATATACCACACCTATATAAGAGATGTTCCTTTCCATGCAAAAATCCGAAATAACAGTAAGACAAGAGGAAACAATTATAACCGTAGAGTGAAAAAACAAATGAGTATATGTCAAAGTCAAACCAATAACTCCCTCATCTTTCTTCTTCCTTTTCAACTTTTTCTCTTGTCGGTCTTCTCTGTTTCCCTCTACTCCTGTTATCTCTACAGTTCAAATGCGGCCCGGTTTGCCCAATCACGTGCTTCTTGAGGCTCAACACATCATTCGCCTCACAACTAAATAGTGGAATCGCAATATACTGTCCGATCTGATATCGCCCCAATCACCTCTAGAATACAAGTACGATAGACATGCACATTCCACCTCATGGGGAGATACCCAGTAGTCGATCCTACATACATGTGGCGAAACCGAGGTGATATCAGAGCATAAACCAACGACCTATTGCATGCCTCATAATCTAACCCATCAATCATAAATTTCAATGCGTATTCCTTCACCTTTCCCACCCATGAAATATGATCCCGTAAGATAGAACCAAGTATCATAAAACGAACGAAAGCATTAAATAATTTATCTCGAAGAAAGAAGGAAATCAATTAGCAAGAATCATAATTTGAAAAATCACAGGTTTCATCGGAAATAAAGGAAGACCACCCATAACAACTATGTTTCATTTTGCACTCATTCACAAGTAACCAAAGTTTCGTCGCGCTTTGGAATTTTTTTCATAGTTCGACCGACTGTTAATCTAATTCCTCTGAAATATTTAGTACCTCTTTCGATGTGTCATCGCTAATCTTGTAGGTCGTCCCCTTTCCGTTAAAAGCTTGACCTTTATCTCGATTGTCCTTCAAAAGTTTGACCTTTATCTCGATTCACCCGAACCTCCGCTAATTCACAAAAGGTCGCCTTGAATTTATCAAGCTTTATGTCGTTCTCCTTGCAGTATAGTTTCAACCCTACCTTCCTCATGAGCCTTAATTGTTTTTTTCGTTCCTCAACATACACCGCCCGATTGTTGATTTTTTCAGGTGCCTTAGATCTGGTGGTGATTCCACTCACTCTCTCCAGGCCCAAGCCGCTTTCAACCTTTTTCTTGTCGAACAAACAACCACTTCGTCCAATCGCTCCTTCGGGTTAGTATTCCCGCATTTCTTTCCCTTTCCTCCTCTTGCCATAAGCTTGCTCATCTGTTCTCTCAAATTTTTAACTTGCTTCTCCGCCTCCATCCTCTTCATTTCTGCATCATTTCTCTTTTTCTTAAGCGCTCTTACCTAAATGTTGACCAACTTATGCAAACTACAAAGATAACGATATTCCTCTCTTAATTTGCCGGCCTCTCTCAGGTTGTCGGTTCATCGTGGCTTCAGAGTTTCTCGATCATGGTGTTCAGGCGTGCTAACAACAACTTTCCTCCTCTTATCCCCTGGCCTAAGGGCTTCCGTCTTCCACCGATTAGCTTAATTGATAACTCGTTCTGGTCCCGCAATTTGCTAACCTCCTTCTTCAAACCGACTGTCTCTAGTTCAAAGTTTATTTTTATGTATGTTGATTGCTTCAATCCCCCGATCTCCTCTCTTAGAGCAAAAATGACATCCTTGTTCAACTGTTTATCAACCACTTGCTTCCATCATATATCCATAATCTTATTTCATAAATACAATACCTTATTATCCCCTAATTGTCTCGTTAACTCACCCAACATCCTCTTGAGATCATCATTCTTCTTACATAATTTTGTCAACTCGTCATTTGTTTTACCACTACTACTGCTTGACCCTACGTCCACTGCCTTACCTTTCAACGACGCTCCCAACATTTCCAATTTCTTTTATCTGCCTCGAACTGCTCCCACTCCTTCCACCTTAACTATTTTTCCTCCTCTCATTTTCCTCCTTCTTCTGCTGTCCTTCTTTGTATGGATCTTCGATAAGTTATTATAAATCTTGTCTAGACGTTCCTGCTTCCTACTCTAGAAATTAAGTTTGCCCAGTTGTCCATAGCTCGTGGTTCCCGATGCGCCGACTGGTTGATAGTTAGATGTTGACGGAGCGTAGGACGTTGAGGGAGTGGAGGACAAAGACCCATTAAGAGTCGACAACGCCAGTTACTGTAGCGGAGTGTCACTAAGAGCCACATTAGCATCCGATACAAGTGGCCTATACCCGATCTGACGGTTAGGGCAATCATGAACCCAATGGTTCATAGACCCGCACTGAAACATCCTCCTCTCCCAGGTGGTAAGCCTGCCATCCTGCCACAACTTCACGACCTAAAAACATTCACACAAGCACCGAAGATTAGCAATATCGAAAACAGTGAGGAGGGAGCCATACACGTGTAGTTTAATATTTACGGCGGTTACAACGTCAAGGTGATGGTGAGTGAATACACACACAACATCGCATTATCACATGCAAATGAATCAATTTCATTGTTAGCCATAAGGCGTAATCAAAACAATCTCAAGCATAAGATCACCCAGAAATGT